TGAAACGTGCCACAGATATTTATAGAACTGCCATTGTAAACAGAATTTGCATTTGGTGCCTTTGAGTTATTTAGTGTGACGGCGCATTCACCAGGAGGATTTTTTCGCTTTGAAAGGGAAAGGTTCCCTTTGGAGCCGTTTCCTCCCCTCGCCTTTGCTGTTTGTGTTGGGTGGAGCAGCTCTGTGGGCAGTTGTGATAATTTAGTGACAAAGCGACGGGCGCGCAGGGATGAGCTGAGCACGGGGAAGGTTTTTGGGCTGTGTCACAGACAGTTTACAGGATTCTCCAAGAAAATGTTTGAGTTACAGAGAAGATGAATAGAGAGGAGACCAGTCATCGGAGAAGTTCATGGCACAAAGCAAAACAACTGCCAGCCTGCCTTCCCTAGGAAGCCCGTTGTGTAAATATTTGGGTAGGAGGCTCCAAAGGAGATTTAAAGTCTTGTGATAAAGGTAACTAAGACGTCCTTTCCTTGAGAAAAACAACTGTGCTTCAAAAGATCCCATGAGAAACCACAAGACAGATTTCCTTTCTGTAACGTCTCTATACTAGGGTGAACAAACATGTATGTCAGGGCTTGTTGTCACTGATGGATCTTAAAACGTTTTGCAAAGGTCAGGATCAGTTTTCCCGTCCTCAGGGTGCAGAACCCGAGGAGCAGAGAAAGAACGCGTGCCCTGTGTATGGTCAGCCCTCCTGCACACCAATCCAGCACCTCAGCTGCACAAACACATTGCTTCAGATCTTCACATGCCTTACAAGCAGTATCTGTGTTTGGGTATTGAAGATATATTATCCATAGTCTTTACACATTCATGTATAGAAATGATAGAGCTTTTTAAAAGCACTTGTACTCAGTTCTTCAAGCGCTCTGGGGTCATGCTGCACGTGCAGGCATTAAAAGAAGTGGCAGATTTTTAAAAAAAAAAAAAAAAAGAAAAAGTGACTTACTGAGCTGTTTTAGAAAAAAAAAAATATGTGTTCTGTATTTTGGTGCATAATTTCCATCTGAGTTTGTGCTAAGTCTGGCCCATGAGATGCATGTGGCCCATATTCACACCCAACGTGTGCAGCTCCCTGCCATATGGATGAACTGTTAGCACACAGGAGTGTGTAACACAGTTCCACCTCTTCATATGTCTTGGGAAGCATTGGAAATCTGAGGGATTGATGTGGATACAGCATCGTGGCAGAGCTGTAGCTGAGCACGCAGCAGGCATAACCATGGAGCTCACCTAGGAATCCCATCACCTCACTTGAAAGGTTCTCTGTACTTTGAGCATCAAGGGCATATTGACTTTTAGGTTGAATTAGACATTTGACTTATTTCTTTCTGGAGGTAGGAAGGAGGCTCTTTCCCCCCAGAAGGAAAGTGGAGGACTGTGTTGATACAGGGAATCTCACTGAGCTCACAGTGAAACCCAGGACTTGATTGGGAATGAACTCCCCTGCTTCCCTGCCACATCAGGTATCCATCTCTTCTGTCAACAACTCTGCTCAACCATTGCTTCTTGTCCCTTTACTGGGAGATTGCTTTTCCAAGGTGAAGGGAAAGCCGTGCCTCTACACCTCAGATCTCTCAGTTCTCCCCTTCCTTCTCTGGGTAAGAGTCATGGAAAAGGAGCAGCTCAATTCACTCCTGTAGTCTTCCCTCACTGAAATTCTGGTGCTGCTCAGCTCATCTTAGTGACGTCCTGCTCCCTTTTATAGGGCTTTGGTGTTGATTTTCTTTCTCTAATTGCACAGGGAAGCAGAAGGGTTGCCCTGAGTTCTTGTCCAAGAGCCGGCCACAGCCTCATCCATGGCAGTGCAGCAGATAGCACAGAGCAGCCGATTTGCACAGCGTCAGAAGCAGCATCTCTCACCCAGACAGACTGTGCTAAATCAGTTCCTCCTCACTGTGCTTTGAAATGTTCCTGTTTCTTGCTCTGACAAACTAGCAGAGTTTGTATTGATCTGGCAATGCAAAAAAGCACATAATGTGGGCTTCAGACACCTGGTGGAATAATAAAGCAGAAAGGAGGGAGAGCAGGACCATCATATTTTAGCTTATATTAAATAGGAAGCCTGTCTCTGCCTTCTTTTATTTTTCTCTTGGAAAGCACTATTTGTTTCCAAGGGAAATGAAAAGCCCCATGGCTGGGCATCCTGTCTGCAGAGGGAAATGCTGCAGCAGATCTCCAGCCTGTGGTCCTGCTGAGCTTCAAGGGATGTTCATGAAATGCCATGCAATTAGTTAACCGTCATGTGCTGCATTTGAGAGCTTTGCTTTATTCAGGTATTTATTTATGTTACCAGCTGTTTGCATTTGGGATTTCTTTAAGCAGTGAAAGCGCTAAGGGGTTGTGAAACTCTGGGTTGGAAAAGCATGGAGAGCTAAAGAAGCTTCTCAAGGAAAGTAAGTGCTTTGCTGAAACAGTAAAGCACAAAGTCATACATCTCAAAAAATTTTCCCTCTTTCACCTTCTTTTATTCTTATTTTGACTCTGCTATAACTGATGGAGTGTAACACACAAAAGCTGGACTGTGTTCCCATCCCTGCCATTGCCATGATAAACTCACTGCTTTATCTCTTGCCTTGGGTAAACTCATATTAAAACTGGAATATCTATGCACAGTCCCCATCCTGAGGATGCAGTGGATATGTGATAGTAAGAGGACGAGGGACATATCAAAGCAGAGCTCAGGCACTCAAGAGTTTTATCTGCTGGAGAAGCCCACCAAAGGAAGCTTGCGGTTCTCTGCACCCAAGTGAACATGACCCACCCAACTCTTGTTCTGAGCAGGAGAAACCTTTGCAAAGCCCTTCTGTGAGTCTCTGGCGTAGCTTCAGAACTGAGCTGAAAGCTGTTTAATAGCAAAAAAACTCACTCACCAAGCAGTACACCTTAGGAGAAGCCATATTTTGCATAACATTGCTTACCAGAGGAAACTCTCCTAAGACAATTTACTGCCACGGCAGTAACTGGCTGACATTTATGAGAATCCTTGTTTTACAAGGCTTTCCTTTGGCTGCAAAGCCAGGGCTCCAGTCATGCTCACGGAAAAAGAGAAGGAAAGCAATGTCATTTAGCGTGCAGGATACTCAAGAGGTGTGCTGATGTGAATAACAAAAGGGGGTAAAATCGTCATGCATTGCACGGGGTTGTGCATTCCAGGATTGTAGATTTGAGGTGAGTTGGAGGGAAAAGCTCATTTTGACCGAAGTTTTCTCATAGTAAACTCTGTGTCTTGCATGGTCTGCTTGAGGCTCAATAGAGTTGTTGGAACACTTGAATTCTTGCTTTGTGGAAGAGGCTGGGGCCAGGGTAAGACTCGCTCCAATCTGGCCCCAGGAAAAGGGTAGATGATTGTAAGACAGAGCTGGCAAGAGGGAGGACAGGAGCACACAGAAGAGCCTGATGGGCTCCTGTACTGAGCAGGGTGAGGGTGATGCTGCAGATCCCATGGCAATGGCCATGCACTGCCTGTGCTCTTGAACTGGCAGTCGGTGGTGGAGCATCCATCGCTGCCTCTCGGATGCCAGCACATCCAGCCCCATCAAGCCACAGGAGCGGGTGATTTTTAACCTGCAGAGCTGAAGCAGAAAGCTGAGCTGTCCTCAGTTAACCCCCCAAGCCCACATCTCCCCGCTCGCTGGAAGGTGGCTTTGCATCAGGGGCTCAGCTCATCTGGCACTGGTGGGAAGAGGTGATGGATAAGGGCAGGAATGCCCAGGACACTGGGGCACTCATGTCCCCAGCAGCCTGCAGGCCCCTTGCCAGGCTCCTGTGGACCCTCAGCTCCCTTCTGGTGATGCTTTCAGACTCTGTGTGGCAAACAATATCATTAAACTGATCTGAGGATCCGCGCAAAGCACAGGAAGGTGCCTTGGCTGGAGGGTCCCTGGGGCACTAAACAGAGCTGTGGGGCCGCACTGGGTCTGTGTTGCCGTGGGTCCAGGTGTGTGTGGGTGTCGTGGGGTGAGCCCACACCAGGGGGGCTGCCTGTGCTGCCTAAGTCATGCTGAGGAAGGGATTTACAGAAGCCAAAGAGGCTTAAAGCGGTCCATATCCCATTAACAGATAGTGGGATTGTGCTTGTTCCTGTGCCTCAGGGGCTTTGTTGGACTGAGCCGGGTTCTGTAACTCTGCAAAGCAAAGTTGCTCCCTGATTAGAGTGCTCTGTGCAAGAGGAGAGCTGGGAAAGGGCTTGGTGCACTGTAGAGGAGTTCCCTCAGACCACAGGTTGTGTATTTCTAAGGACCTCATTCTATGGACCTCAGAAATTTCATATAAGGCTTTCATATATAAAATAACAGTTTTCCTGATATTATTTGTTGACAGTAGTAATAAACTGTACTGGCATGGAAGCACCTTTAGACCAGTATAATGATATCACAAGTGGCTCCTGTGGTACATCTTAAATAGGACACCCCAAGTAGGACAAGCCCATTCTGGGATTCAGGACCAAACAAGCAGCTGATGCCATTCCAGGAAGCACCAGGGAGGACTTTGCTTATTCCACACTACCTGTGGGATGGCTGGATCACTGCCAGTGAGGGGTTTGGGAAAACTTGTCTGGATGCCTCCTCCACCAGCCAAGCTGCCTGCAGAGCTGGAGGCTGCAGTATGAAATGTCAGGGGCCCTGCAAACCATCCCCTGGCCCCGCTGTACACACTGGAACAACCTCCTCCCGGCAGCTGCATCCGAGCAGGCGTCAACCCTGCTCCATGACAGCTACCAGGGTGGCTTTTCTTCTTCTCCTTCCAGCCTTTTCTTTCCCCTGGTGCCAAAAGAAGGGAGATTAATTTAAAAAAAAAAAAAAAAACAAAACAAAACAAAAAAAAAACACACACACACAAAAAACACACACACAAAAAACAACAACAACAACAAAAAAAAAACACAAACCGAAAGCACTGCAGCGAGTGAAAGCCCCCAGCTTGCGCCGGGGAAGCGGCCCGTGCCGAGCTGGAATGCCGAGCGCCCTGACACACGTGCCTCTTCTCTCTTGCAGATGACGGAGGGTCGCAGATGCCAAGTGCACCTCCTTGACGACAGGAAGCTGGAGCTCCTCGTTCAGGTAGTAACTGCACGTTTCGCCATGTGATAGTTTGCTACAGCTGCGGGTTTTCGCTGGGGTGGGGAGAGAAAAGGGTTTTCAGCTGGTTTTCTCAGCAGCTTCACACTGTGATTGCCTGCAGAGCTCAGGGAAGCTCCATTAGTGCTGTCTGAGAAGGATCTGCAAAGACGTATCTGTGGGAAGGACTAATGCAGGACATGGTTTGCTTTATTCTGTGCCAAAACCGTCCTAGTCCCTGCCAGTGAGACAGAAAAGCAGCTCTGGTCATTTTTGACACTGTTCCTGTATCACTTTGCAATTTTTTGAGGGACTGCTTAGCTTTGAGAAGTTTAGTGCATCAGGCAGGCATTGCTTGTGCGGAATGTAAATCGTGTCAAACACAAATATGCATTAAAATAAGTTAGTGCTCCATCTGCCTTATTTTTTACACTTGAAAAAAAAAAATTAGAAACAATGAGAGTCCAGTGGTGGTGGCTGTGTAAGGATGGGCTGATGGAAGCTGTAGTATCCTGTACTTTCCTGACAATTTTGGCCCCTGCCTCAGAGATCTGCAGTGGGTTAATAACAAGAATTAGAAGAATGTCTTTCCTTTTCCAAAGGCTTCGGGCCAGCCACAGGCAGCCCAAGCAGCAGGAAATGAAACTTCCTATAGCACCCAAATACCCCAGCTGCAGCTGATAAGCTGGGAGGGGGGGGCGGGATCCCTACCCAGCACTGGCAAACCTGAATGGGGATGGCTGATGGGGACTTGAATAGACGGAAGCACATTCAGCCTCGCTTTCTGGAAAGTTACTTAAAAATACCATTGCAAAAATGTTAATGGGTAATGGTTTTTAAGTACATAGTCATCAAGGAGGTGAAATCCCTCAGCTCCCCGTGACATTTAGTGTTTTCAGAGAGTGCCTGGATAACCATAAGCCAGGCCAGAACTGGAATGAGAGCAGCTAAATCAGGATGACTAATTAAAACAAAACACCATGCCAATAATCTCTGCAAGGTGAGCACCCCTGCACTGGGCTGCACCGGGTTGGCTGAAGCTTTGCAGCTGCCTGGGGGGGAAGTTCAGTCACCTTCATCACAAGGGCACAGCACTTGGCTTCCCGTTTCATCTAAATGCCTTTTCTAATTTTTCTTAGTTCAATTAAAAATGAATGGGCTATTGGAGAATAGCTCTGCTAAAGCACTGCTCACTATATTAATAATCACAGCTTAAAAGATACTGCAGGAAATCTATGTGAGCTGCCCTGGCCAACCTGATTATTTGGGGTTTTATCAAGGACACTAAAAAACCACAGGAAGATGACTTCCAAGGAGGCTGGTTTGGGAAGCTCTGTGTCCACTTCCAAGTGAGCAGAAATGATATCGCATGATATTATGTTTTTTCAAGTGTTTGATCACGCCTTCAATGGGAATTCCTTGTAATCAATATAGGAAGTGAATTGCTTTGTAAATCACACTAATTAGTTTGCAAGTGACCCATGGCTGAATTTTATTTGTACAATAAATTGTTTTGCTGTTTTCAAGTAGTGTACGAATGGGGAAAGCCAAGGAGGGGTGATGATGAAAAATTCATGCCCAGAGAAAGCAGTAACCTCTGTTCCATGCAGGTTGACCCAGATCTCTGAGTACCATCATGCCCCCATGTGTACAGGATTGCCCACTGAGGTATCTCAGATGCTTTTCTGGCTTAATGAGGGTTTTCAATGCTCTTAGGTAGCTTTTACTCAGGGCAAAATCACTTCTGCATAGAGCAGATGAAGAGAAAGTGGGTGTTTGGACTCAAGTATGTCTCTTGTATTAATACTCTTTGCAGACATGGGCACATTATTTTGGTTTGCCCGCCTTAAAAGGTAAAGACACCAGCATTGGGGTGGTCCTAGAGCTGGTCCACTGGGCCAGGAACAGGCTGATTTTACCCAGATGAGCAGCTCTTTGCCCCAGGGGATCCTCAATCAACTGGGCTCCCTGCAGGAGCAACGTGCACTTTGCTAGGGGAAATCTCACCAACTAACCTGGACTAGTCGTAACTCATCATGAGATTTCAGATAAAAGTTGTTTTGTAAGTTCTGAGCACCGTATTTTCGTTGTTATTACCTTATCTTGTAGCTGAACTGAACAAGAAGCTGTAAATAAAATGTTCATCCAAGCCCAAGCTTCTGGCTGTCACTTCAAAGCTGTATTTTTCTGTGGCTGTCTTGTTACGGGCTGGTTTGCTGGTTTTTTTGCCATGAAAGAGGTTCCTCCATAGCTTTGTTGGGCCTTAACATCTAGACCTTCATTGGCTTGAATTATTTAGGAGTCAGGTACTTAAATTCTCGTGTGAAATTTCCTGCTTCCCACCACCTCAACCTTTCTCGGAAGCTTTTCCATAGCTAATTTCACACTCTTATGGCAAGTTTAGGGGATACTGCTGGGAATCACTAAAACTGATTTCTTTGCCATGGGTGAGATCTAAATAGCAGACTCATGTGGGCCTGGCTTTACACTGCTCTGCAGTGTTTGTGTGTGTAATATCAGGTGCTCTGCTTAGAGAAGTGTTCAGGGATCCTGTTCCTGTGTTTTCATAGAATGGTTTGGGTTGGGAGGGATCTTAAAAGCCATCTAGTTCCAACTCCACTGCCATGGGCAGGGATACCTTCCACTCAAATCGATTGTTCAGAGCTCCATCCTACCTTGCCTCAAATATGGGGCATCCACAACTTCTCCTGGCAACCTGTTCCTGTGCCTCACTACCCTCTGAATAAAGAATTTATTCCTAACATATCATCTAAATCTCTCCTTTTCTAGTTTCACACCATTCTTCCTTGTCCCATTGCTGTCTACCCTTGCAAAAAGTCATTCTCCCTCTTATTAAAAGACCCCTTTAACTCCTGGAAGGTTGCAGTGGGGTCTCCCCAGAGCCTTCTCTTCTCCAGACTGAACAAGTCCAACTCTCTCCACCTGTATCCATAGGAGAGGTGCTCCAGCTCTCTATGGTCCTCCCTTTTGATGTTGAAAAACCAGCAGAAGAAGCTTGGTCTGATCAAAGGAGAGACCTGGGTACAGCTCCCTCGAACAGATGCAGGAGGACTCCTGGAGCATCTTGAAGCAGCTTCGGCCAGTGACTCTGGGGAGCTGAAATTATTTCCTCTCCTGCCTCGAGTGCTGCTAGGCAAAACCAGATGCATCTGGGAACGATCAGGTTGTTTGCAAAGAGCAGTGTATTAAGCAAATGTCCTCCCTTTTTGTCTGTGAATTAGCCACGATCAGACTCGGGGTTTATGAACACGTTGTCTGAAACATATCAATTGGCGGGTAACGAGGACCATGCCACGGGCTGCAGGAGGATGGAGGCTGGTAATGGTGCTCCTGCAGCTGCTCTCAGGACTCAGCAGTGGCTCAGTGCGACAGCTCTGCCAGGCCAGATTTAAACATTTCTATACCACAGGTTCTCTCCCAAAACTACAAAGACACCTCTGATAGGCCACACAGCAATTGCCAGTGGGACCCCCCCCCTCCCACTGGCATATATGTCTTATTTGCATTACCAAAGCCCAAAAGTGAGATTTTGGCTCAGAGGCAGCATTTATAACCCCGTCTCTGAATGCTGGCTTGCTTCGGTGTTGGCATGTAACACAAGGGCTTGGGGTTACCACCATCAGGAAAGCAATCCTGGGTTTAGTCAATCAAGGGGTTTTGACTGCAGTCTTTTCCTCCCAAGTTGAGTGGCTGCAGAGTGGTGCAGCAGCAGCAGCTAAGGAAAAGCAGAAACAGAGGCTTTGAGGATAAAAGAAAACCCTCCCTAATGTGTTTTGTCAGATAAATGCTGAAATTTAGAAGGGCTAATCATAAACGGAGACGGAGGAGGATCATATGGAAATCTCTTCCTGAGGGTCTGAAACTCAAAGCCTGTTTGACTTGGGATTAGGCAGAAGAGTTGCATTTGGTGTGTGTTTCATTCGATAAATGCCTGTTGATGATCTGGGGTTTGTGGCAACTTTACACAGCCTTTTTTTTTTTTTTTGACAATTTTTTCTTTCTGAGCAGGAGCAGAGTGTGGCTCCTTGGATCTTACAATCTGGGTTTTTTTTCCTCTTTCTGTTTGATGCATGTTTAGTTTCTAACACAGGGGCGCTTTTTTTAAAGTGTTTGGCTTTATCCAGCTAATCCTTTCCAGTGAGCGAGTCCCTTTTCTTCCTTCTGGAAAATGGGTTTCCTCCGTTCCCCACTCGCAGCCTCCCTATCTGTTATATTATTTCCCAGTGACCGTGTGTATCATTTGTCTGCTGCACATGAAAGGTTTGTGTTGCTTTATTTAAAGACTTTTGCGTAATTGGCAATTCGTTCCTTTTCATGTGGGTTTTATAAACATGGCTTTTTTTCTGGGATGGCTGAATCAGGCAGCCTGCCTTGATCCCGGCTCCTGTGCCGGCTGCCGGTGCCCCTTATCTGACAGCAGCCCCGGCAACTGTCATCCAAAAGTGTTAAGCCTCCTAATTCTTTCTCTCTGGAGGAGTTATTGCAGAAATTGAGCTCATTTGAGGCTCGTAGCAGAGCCATCTGTGGGGTCTGGAGGCTCTGAAATTTGATGGTAGGAAATAACTGGGCAATTTGTTTCTAACCTTCTCCCCAAGAAGCACTGAGCCCGATTTGAAAGAGCCAGGGAGAGACGGAGAAGTCAGCACAACCCATAGGTATTTTGGTAATTAACCCACCTATATGTCCATGTTGACACTCTCTGAGTAACTCTTCTTGCAGCATTTCCATCTCCCAGCTGTGATGCAAGTCCATCCACAGGCACGTTAACAGTGATATACCCACGGTCAAAATCAATGGGATGCACAGAACATCCCTTTCTGACCTTTTTGCCTTGTGCATAACCAACTGCTTTGAGAGGGCCAGGAGTCTTTCAGGAGCCCAGGATTTGCTTCCAGTGTGCCTGCCATGCTTCAGCATCTCATCCCCAGGAACTGCCTCCAAGCCAGACTGGGAGACGCTGGAGCTGCAAGCCAGCACTGGAC